TATATATATATATATATATGCGCATTATTTTTACACATATTTTTTCATCTATAAAATTAACCGTACAAATTAAATCAAATGATATCTATGTATAAAATTACATGTTAACTTCAGTAATGAAAAGACAAACCGTACTGGGAATATATTTCCTCCCCAAAGTCTCCTGAATTTCAGCAGCATCGGAATTTTCGTGCTAGCGTGAAATTGTATAAACTTATATAACATTTGCTCATTCGCGAAATTCCGGCTGTCGCTCATAGTAATCCAAAGTAATTACGTGGGCGAAGATTATGTCACTTCGACTGAACCGCATCAGCATCCCGTTTCTAACTTGCGGAAATATCTGCGCGGCGAGTTCGCGGCTGCCGAGTTTGGAAACATCGCGGTCGCATTCAGTCTCGCGCCGCTAATTGTCGGTTCATAGTCAGTGATCCAGGATAATTGCGCGGATGGTGGTTGCTCAAGTGCGAATGCACCGCTCGAAACCGTGTAGTGGGAGATGGCATACGTGCTAATGCGCGGAAACACGTGCGAAAATTTGCTTCGTATACGTTTTAAGCGTACCGACGACGACGACGACGACGACGACAACGACGACAACAATGCAATGATGACGACAACCGCGAGAGCTATGAGATTGCGTAGCCATTGCCAGCGGCGTTTTACGATACCGTGTCACTTGAATAATTAAAAATTATCTCGTTTACTTGATATTCACCGGATAGCGTATACTAATATCGACCTAAGAATCGGAAGCGTACAATCGTCACCGACTGGTCCTATGATTACGAATACGGATGAAGTCCTTACAATCAGAGCGCGCGGCAAAATGTGGCACGTATCAGAGACGCGAGTACACAGAGAGGTACAAACGGAACAAAAGCACTCGTCTCGCTTCGTATCGTCCGCGCATATTGGCTCGAGAACGTAATTGAGTGCGACGTGCAAACACTCGCGGCAATTGTTTTGCCGTTTGTCAAGGGAGACATGATTTCACCACTTTGAAACTAGTCTGGCAGCTGGAACGTGGTACTTCGCGAGAGATAACGAGTATTGTCAGTCTTTTTTTGCAGCAAGACCAAAAAAAAATTAGGGAAACAAAGAAACAGGAAAAATGTATATTAATAACCAAGAGATAAAACGTAATAAAATATTCAAGTCAAAGCTTAAGAAATAAAGATGAAGAAAAAAATGGTTTTGCAGAAATAATCTGAAAATTTAGCTACAGATCTGAAAATAATTTTGTTGAATCATCAAAATAATGAGGACGCTCAAATGTTAAAATCTTTGTGCATTCACACTCTAAATTTTTGGAAGTGATATTTCCCAAAGAAGTGATAGTTGCACTAGTCAAGAGAAATTTTCACTCTTAGAGTCACTCCAAATGGGAATCAATTTTCAATTATGTGAATAATTTCACTCTCCGAAGCGAGAGATTCTGATAAAATGAATGTTCATGATGAAAGTTCACTCTAATAAATGTTAAGTTTAGCATCTATACATATAATTTAAAAATTATTAGACTCATTCAACGTGTTTTTGCACAAAATGAACGAATATGGCAGAAGAAAACGTTAATCGCTAAACGAGATATTAATCATTAAAGTTGATTTTTTAGATTAGATTAAGAAATTTACTCCTGAAGGAGTGAAATGAATTTACTCCTTGCCGGACTGCCGGGCGCAATTATCAATTTTCTTGGAATGAAATTTCACTCCCGAAAATTTAGAGTGCATGTTTAAGTATCCTACATTATTATTCGATGCAATTAAATTATTTACAAATTATTTGCATCCTTTCCGTGTATAAAAATGTGATTAAAATGCATTTGGTTTAAGACTTCTTTCATCAATTTCTAGTGAAGTTAATCGACGATTTACGTAGAAGTGCCAATAACAGTTAAATATATCAGAACTTCTTTCTCTTTCTCTTCTGATTGTCAGATAAATTACATTTAGTTTTAACATTGACGATCGATAGTTGATTTATACTCGTTTTCTACCAATGCAGTTTAATTGTAATCTCAGTTCAACTGACTCTTCATCTTTTTTAAATTTTAAGAACAAGAAAAAAATGAAGAATAAATCGAATCAATTTACGTTAACCTACATTAATAGAAACAGGCATTAATTGTCAATTAATTTAATCAGAGATTAATGAAAAGATCTTCAGACATTATTTAGTACTAATTTGTTAATATAAAGAATATATTTCGATTATTGTAAAATTATTGTAAAGTGTGTGTGTGTGTGTGTGTGTGTGTGTGTGTGTGTGTGTGTGTGTGTCAAAGTTTTAAATCAATTAAAAGTAGATAATATTTGCAGTAAAATGCTCTTTTTATTCGCAATATACATACCACAAGCATCATTTTTTTCATCCAAACGTTCAAATTCAAACGTCCATTATCTTTCCATTCACATATCGATCCGATATATTTGTGTGGGAATTTTATTGCTCTCGTCTAATTAATTGTTAACGAGCGAGGAAATACTTGCATGATCGACGATGATGCACAGATACAACCGCGTGACGCGTTTAATGCTAATGTGAGTCCAACGTCGACTTGATTGACGTATATGCGAGTTGGCGGATATGTGGCTCGTTCGTGAAAGCATAAGCGACGAATGACGATTCGAAGGTGCATTAGAAACTATTTGCACAAAATTTAACGAACGCTTTCGATTAACGTTGGAATTAATACTCTCGCGCGCGATATCTACTAAATACTTGACCTGTTATACATTAATTTTTCGAAATTTCCTATTTCATGACACCAAACGCCGCACTACCAATTTTCCGACAAAATATAAAGCTATTCGCAATTTTCGTGAAACAAACAAGTAATGAAACTGTCCGACATGACGCATTATACTAATTGCAACGCTGCTATACAGTCATCACACACACACGCACACAAAAAAAGTGAAATAACTGCTTGTTAACAGAAAAGTGACAAAATGTGACCTTTTGAACATTAAAAATAGTAATGAAAAATGACACTTTTTTCAAATTTTCGAGTAATTAAGGCCATTTAAGCAATAAAAATTTTTAATAGTCTATCTTTAAATAGAATATATATTATTCAGATATAACACTATTAGTATAATACACTGAAGAGAACCAAGGATTGAAACGTTTGTATACTTTTAATTTTATATATGCATTATTATATATGCATTATTATATACGAATAGCTCGGCTCACATTGGCTTTTCTTTTTTGTTTTAATTTTGTTTATTAGTATAATACTATTAACAAATGCTATTATTAATATTGTATTACTATTCAAGTAATACGAAAGATAACTTTTATCATCTGACATGACACATATGTCAGATGATAAAACAGAGATAAAATTTTTAAAATGCAATAAAGAACACAAACGTATTCTTTAAATATGCGAAAAATATTTGTGGTCTCCAAAAGTCATGTTAGTTTCACATCTAAAACTAACTTAAAAGAACAGACTCATTGGATCAATATCGAGTTAGCAACAGAAAGAGAGAGAGAGAGAGAGAGAGAGAGAGAGAGAGAGAGAGAGAGGAAAACGAATAGCAATTGTTAGATGAAGCAATAAAAATATGAATACAACATTATGTTTTATAAATCCCATGTCAAAAAAGAAAGATGATTATAATAACCCATATAAAACTGCAATAACTTTTTAGTAACTTATAAAAAAAACTTGACAAAAAACTGGATATAACGTTATAATTAGCGTAGGAAAGGTCAATGTTGTTAATTCAACCAGAAATTATAACAGATTATGTGCTATTGCAGTTCGATATGAAGAATGCAAACTCAATCAAACGGCTTAAATCAATCTAATCTGCGACAACGGCTTACACGCGAATTAATTAATACATGATT